GTTTCAGGAATTAATCTGGAACTGTTAAAAATTGGTGATGATATTTGTCTGCTTGCTAACTTTCCTAAAAAAGGTAAAGAGTCAGTTGTATGCAGTGTCATGATGCATGAGATGTATCGGGTAATGATGTTCTCAAAATAAATGAGATTGTGATATATGCATTTGTGATGCATATGCTATGATATTTGTAGAATAATGTATGAATGCAATGTATGAATGTATCAGTTGTTCTACTGCAGTGTTACTGAACTGGGGAAAATAAATCTCTGACTGTTGTCGGGGGTGAAGAGTGTAAGTCTTCAAATTTTGTTGAAGTTGAAATGCTGAGAGACGGATTTTCGTTGTTAGAGGAATAAACTCTGTTAAATAAGGGAAACTCCGTAATCCGCTTGGGGACTTTTAAAGAACATCTCTTAAAGTTGAGCATTTTGAGTCTGAATGTCCTTGATAGTCTGTTCTAGAGCCATCTCTACTAAAATAAACAGTAAGCGGATGAGAGACATGTGTTGGAAAATCCTGTCATGATATGATGCATGGTATGTGGATGCATGTTTTCAAGGATCTCGCATGGTAAACACAAGAAGATGTTAGAAGTTTAATTTTGATCAAAAACTTTGATTGGAGAACTTTGTATTGGTGGATGTCCTTCTACGAGAATCAAGCTCACCGTGTCAAGTGGGTCATAGCCCTTGACTCAAGTTAACGTGCTTTGGTCTTTGACGGTGTTTGATTAGAGAATGAATCCTTTTACCCCTTGATAGGCGTCTGGTTCAACATGACCATGCATCATAGGCCCTTGAGATCCTTGAAATGGTTATTGAAAATTCTATGGTATGATGTTATGATGTTATTGTGATATGATGGGAGAATTGACTTGAGGTTTTGCGTTTCGTCGCAAATGTTTCGGTTTAGCAAGAGTCGCCATCGACTTTTATTTTATCCAAAAGGAAAGGTAAAAAAACACAGGAAAGACCTTTGAGATGTTTTCTTGGGTTCGGGGGGTAGATTATGAAAAGGGAAGGTGATTGCACCCTTTTCATCCATGGTTTTCCATGGGCTCTTAGTTACTTGCTTAGATCACTTGCTTTGCTTTTCCAATTGTTTGAAATGGTGCTTTGTGTTTGGTGTGATTTTGAAATACATTGTTAATTACCAAAGCAATTTAAATAACACTTAACATATGCATAATAAGTCCTGCGTACAATTTTCTCAATGACAGTTCCTGAGGCCTCTGAAGTGTAGTCTCCATTTGACCTTTGTTGAGCTATTTTCCACTTCTCATGTCGTGATGGTGGAGATGGTTCCCGATTATGACTCATGGATCCTGCATCTCATAGTTGTTGTTTTTTCATCAATTATTATTTTCTCAAGTTTCCTATATCCCCCACGAGACAATCTATGGAGGTATTTTTTTTTAGGCTTGTTCACCTTTCCCGCTTCACTTTTAACTTGTTTTAAACATAGGAAAACTATTAACTTCCATGGTTATATATATAAAATTATCTGAAAATACAACCGGTACTAACCATGAACTTCTCTGAACTACGAGATTTCACAAACTTTCTCCAAACATTATTGTCAAAAAAAGAATATTTCACCCATAGGTGCTCAATATTAGGCTTAGGCTTCGTAATGTAGTCACTCGTTATCCGTGACTTAAAACTCCTCCAAGTCGTACCAGCATAAGTGATCCATTTTTTTTTCAACTTCGAATCTTCACTAAACTCAAACGTCAACTAAATGTTTACATTAATAAGTATGTATTAGTGTTTATATAAAGTAATGTCGAATATATGAAACTTAAAATTAATACTTGAACGTCAGTCCATATGCTCTCTTTCACCGTTACTATTACATGTTGCCAATCATCTAACAATATGTTGACTTTGCTACGTCCAAGGAATGAAACATAAATCTTAAAATGTGAAGAATAAGGACCATCAAGAATCATATAAACAACACTAAACTCAACCAGAAGTCTGACACCCGACTTACGGACTTTAGTTAGTTTAGACATCATTGTGGCACCTCTTTGTTTTCTCTGTTGTCCGCCTACAGATTTGGAATAGTTTGAGTTGGTTTCATTTGAATATGTAGCTTCATAACTAATAGATGAAGAAGAAACATATACCATATATCAAGACATAAAACAATCAACATCAAAACACAAAACATAATTCACAATAGCATCATCAACATAATGGCATCATCAATAACAATGTCATCATTAACACAATGGCATCAACACCAAAAATATATATAAGCGTGTGAAGAATCATCAACAACAACAATGGCATCATAAACATAATGGTATCAACAACAACAAATACATAAACAACAATGGCATCAACATAAACAAAAACTCAATCGAAAATGATGGTATTGTAGATGCAGGGGGAAAAAGTTTACGTACTAGAAACGTGATGAATAAGTAAAAAAATGGTGTTGATTCATTCTTTGAGTTCCTCCTCGACATTTAAACCAAAGGATAAAAGAATAAAGAATAGAAGTCGACTCCTTCCTCAATGATACGAAGGTACAGAAAAATGGCGTGGTTTCGCAATGGAAATGAAAATATGGAAGATGGTGTTGTTTCGTTAGGGTTACAATGGTGTTGTTTCATTAGGGTTACAATGTTGTTGTTTGGTTTAGGGTTGTAATGTCGTATATTTAGTCAGGGGTTGAAATGACATTGTTTCATGATGGAAATGAAAATATGGAACTGAAGAGACAAGTTAGCTAGCTCTGTTTTGTTAAAGTAAATAAATCATATCACCACAGTTTTTAATAAAACCCGTTGTGATATTTGATAAAATTTTATAAAAAAGCATCAGGTATTAAGCACTTAAAAATTTTAAAAATAAATGAAAAATATATCAAACAGTTTTCTTTAAACATCGTGGTGATATAATATTTCTTTAATGATATTTTAGAAAAAAAGATTCAGGTTTTTACGTAATTAAAAATTAAAAAAATGGAAAAATATATCACAGTAGTCAGCTTTAAGAACCTTGGTGATATTCTTTGTAAGAACAATATTTGGTTCTGCATTTGGCCTTTAGTTTTGATGATGACAATACATTGTTTTTTAGAGAACATTTTTTACCCTAACAGTTTTGTCTAGTGTGTAGCTTTTGCCAACAGGTTATGACTTTGATAGAAGCGTGTGTGATGTCATCAGTTTATGAATCAACACACTCTGACTCAGAAGAGACTCAAATATGTGTTACTAAGAACTAGTCAAGTTCTGCAATATCTCTAGACAATGATTCTGATGTACGTTAGTCTAAAGCTTCTGTGTTGTGACTCTGATTAAAGATATTCTGAAGACTTCCCAAGCTATGAAGAATATGCGGTTCTAAGTTTCAAGATTCTGAAGACCAAAGTTTGGAAGACTCTGAAGATAAGGTTCTGGAAATAACTAGTTCTAAAGACTCTAAAGATAGGTGTTCTGAATATTATCTTTGATGTTTTTGGTCCTTATAAGCATGCTTCATCAACACAAATTCCAAAGCCTCTGAAGATTATAAGATAATATCAAAAGGTTTTTACGTGAGTGAATAGTATATGATAAAAGATTAAATGTTTCCACTATTCTAATATCAAAAGCTATGAAGAATATGCGCTTCTAAGTTTCGAGATTCTGAAGACCAAAATTTGGAAGACTCTGAAGATAAGGTTCTGGAAAGAACAAGTTCTAAAAAATCTAAAGACATGTGTTCTGAATATTCTCTTTAATGGTTTTGGTCCTTCTAAGCATGCTTCATCAACACAAATTCCAAAGCCTCTGAAGATTATAAGATAATATCAAAAGGTTTTTATGTGAGTGAATAGTACATGATACAAGTTCAAATGTTTCCACTACTCTGATTTTATGGTGCAATGAATGTACTATGGTACGATGTTTTCTAACATTCTCACAGATAATTACACAAGAAGGAAACTAGAATTTAGTATTCCTATTCTACCCTCCAACGAATTTCTTTTTTACTATAAAAGGAAGACTTTGAAGAATTTGAAAAATAACTTTTCACGCCAAAAAATTTGCTGAAGTGTTGCTCAACTTTCTACTGATATATCTTGTGTAAAGTTTTGTAAAGCAAGAAATTTTTGTTCATTAACTTGCAAGCAAGGAAATTTTGTTCATTCAACTTGCTAATAACATTGGTGTGTTATTTCTTTGTATTTCAACTTGTGTAATATGCTTTCTAAGAAGTATCTTTGTAAAAACACTTTATATTTCAACCTTGGAGTTGATAGTTCCTTGAGAGACTAGGGTATAACCAGAATTTCTCAAGAAGACATTGATGGTTAGTCTTTGTGGTTTGTAAACATTTACGGGTAGTTTTTGTTTGTGTTTGTAACCAGTTTCGGTTATAGTGTATTAAGTTCTTGTTGAGAAAGATAAATCACCTTGGTGGGTGGAATGGATTAACTTCTTTAACAATGAACCATGATGAAACGAGGGATGAAGGCATTTAACTCAATTTTTAACGAGTCAAACCGAACTAAAACGAGTTTGACTCGACTCGACTCGTTTTCAACCCTAATTTTATCTAAATAAAAAATGTTCTCAAATAGAAAATAGTTTAAAGCACGACGAGGTTTATACTTATATAAAAAATTCAATATCACTACACACTTTTTATATGCAATAATATTGCAAACTAATATTAGAACCCAAATAAACATAACACATAAACTCATTTAGTCAACATTATTGAACCAGAACCATACTATAATAGCTCTGTTGTGCCTAAAATATAAAAATACATATATATTCTGGTCTACCATGAGATCTCCATAATTTCAACGACTTAGACCCAAATGACTTATGAGTCCTCATTGTCAATTCCAGTAATCTTATACCTAAACCCTAGTATATAAATGGACAAGTATATATAGAGAGAGACACAAAGAAAAAAACACAAAAAGACAATGGAGAAAGACACGATATATTAATCTGAATCTAGCAGAGTAACTGGTTCAACTTCATTTCCTTAAACCTGTTAAAGAAAATTAAAAAAAAAAATTAATAGCATTAAAATGTAACAACAATATTCCTTACTTGCTCACAAAAAATGTGTGTATAATATATTAATTTAATTTAGATATACTCTTTTTTTAAAATTTTCACACTATTTAAAATAATAATTAATTATGTTGATTTCAATTATAAAATAAATATAATTTACTAAAATAATTTTATTAATAATAGATAGTAAAGTAGTTATATAATTTAAAATAAAATAAATAAAAATATATTAATAAAAAAATAATAAATAACATATTAATATTTTAAAAAGATAAATAATTTGAGATAAATAAAAAAAAAATAAACACATATTATAAAACGGAAGGACAATTTCAATTAAACCCGGTCAAATATTTTAATGATTCAATGACTAATATTAATATTTATAACTTATATTAAAATAAATTCAATTAAAAACATAAAACAAAATAATTAAGAAAACAAATTATAAGTAAAATTATTTTTTTTATGTATTTGATCATTAATATATTAGTTTATATATAAATTATATACATTAATTATCAAATATATCAATAAAAAATAATTTTGTTTATAATTCATTACGAGTTTGGAAGAAAAAAAAGCACAGATCATGTAATAAGAAACACCATGTTGGAGTGAGTCGAGGGTGACACCCCATTCGTCGGTGGGAACTTGTTGGCCAGAGGAGTCAAATAGAACTGCACCATCTCCAAAATTTGCACGAACATTGAAAGGTCCTACTTCAACTTCGATTACAGTGTTGTTAATTATCACCCTATATTTTGGCTTATCAACTTCCTCGTCAACACCTGACCAAAACACACGCCCCAATTTAGATTTCTCACGTGTGAAATGCAACGGTGTATGAAACACCGACAAAACACTAACCCCCGGTAATAATTTTTAAAAAGTGAATAAATTAAATGTAATTATAAATGTTTAGTATTTGATAGGGATACCAACACCGACATTTATATTACAACAAAACTGATAATAATTAAAAAATAAATAAATTAAATATTATTATAAATGTTTAATTAATATACTATTTAGATATTATTATAAATAATATATATTTTTAATATATTTAATTATCAATATATTTTATTTATATATAAATCAAATACATTAATAATTAAATATATTTAAAAAAATAAAAATTGTTTATAATAGTGTCCAAAAAATATGTTTTGATAGGAAGATGAACAAATCTTTTTTATGTAGGTGTTATATAGGCAATTGAAAAACACAAACTTCAACTGAATAATGAAGCCATGCAAGCACAAGTTCATGGAAAATAATTATACTCAATTTGTAGTACTTTTATTTTTGTGTTCATATTTGCAAAAACTCATGTTTTTTATTATGGTCTTATACCCTCTTGCACCATAAAAGAAAATTTGTCCATAGGTCTTGTGTTAATGTGTTTGTACTTCATAGTTTAAAATTTTCATTTCTCTTGAAAGTTGAATTTATTAAACACTAAATATTGATATTGGTTACCTTGAAATTGAGGAATGGGGAATGGAGCAACAACAGGAGGGAGAGGAACAAGAGATGAATCATGAGTCCTTGAAGTGAGACGAAAACCAAGTTGTTGTTGGTTTTGTTGGTTGATCTGCATCATATTCATTGCTTGTTCTTGAATAATATTCTCTTGATCATGCTGGTGGTCATTCATTGAGGAGGTTCCACCTCCATTTCCAATTCCAATTCCATAGTTCATCATGATGTCATGATTAAACAAAGGAAGAGCAACATTTTGTTGAGGTAAAGGCTGAACCATATTGGAATTGGAATACTGATCTGATAAGTAAAGCTCTTGGGCTAGTCCTTCATTGATATTGTTATTATTCTCCATAGGGAAAGCGAAATATGGTTGAGGTTGAGGTGTTGGTAGTTGAAAATTGGTCTCAGCAGGTGGTTGAAGAAAATTATAAGCAGTTTGGTTATGGTTCACATTTGGAGAATTAGGCAACACTCTCATCCCATCGTTAACATTGGAGAAGCCAATGTTGTTAACCATTATCGCTTCGTTGGTCGGCGCCTTTGCGTTTGGATGATCAGAGGAAGATGATAAGGATAAGTTAGGTGGTGCAGTGATGATTTGAGCAGCAGCAGCGAAATTCTTTTTGTTTCTTGGATTGCTATGGAGGTGTCTATGCTTATTTTTGCTTCGCGATTTGCGGTTTTGGAACCAGTAGAACACATTTGCATCTCCAACTTGGCCAAACTCTTGTAACTGTGCTTGTATCTTCTTGATCTCTTCCCTTAGAGGGTTCACCATTCCGGAGTTGAAGATGGATTCCAAAATGCGAATTTGTTCCGGTTTTGGATTCCATCTTGGCTTCGGTTCATGACTTCTGTCATCAACATCTCCACCTACATATATCAAATAACATAGCAAATGTAGATTTTGAAACCCTCTTAAAAGGTTGAACTCAAACACTCTTAAAAGCTAAGGAAAAAAAAACCCTAAATAACAGATAAAAACTTTATCAAAAGACAAAACAAACAACAATTAAGACTAGCCATCTAAATAATCCACAATAAAAATTTAGTTTAACAAATTGAATCATATTTTTGATTAATTTTTTAAAATTATATTAATACTTTTTTAATATAATATATATTACATTACTATGTTATTATTGTAATTCTATAATACTATTTTTAATATTTATATTATATTTCACATCAAATATATTTTATTTTATTTTTATAATACTAATAAAAAAAGCTATAACTTTGTAATTTAGATATCAAAAACCAATCTAAATTAAACAAATAAGATCGTATATCTTTTTAATTAATAATTTAATATTAAACTATATTGCATACAATTTTATGTTTAGATCAAAGAGTACCACAAACACCTCTATGTTAATCCGATACCATAATCAATGGAAATTAAATGAATTTGATTTGATCCGGTTAGACTCACATGAAGAATTTGGTTTGATATCATAAATTTATAACCAGTTAAACACAAATTTAGTTTAATTGATTTCGTAAATTTAGTAAATGAATCGCAAGTTCATCAAGTCACGGATTTCCTCTTACGTTTCAGTTTGTTTTAAGAATAATAAACAATGATCATAAAAGATGCATAAACAATTTAGGGTTTTGAACAAAATTACCTAAAGTAACAGGAGTAGTTTGTAGGCCAGCGGACAAGAGAGATGAGTTCATGCCATGCTGCCAATTCTGATGGTTGTCCGGCTTGGATTTCTTGAACATGCTAGGCCAATGTTTGTTGGAGGAAGACATGGCGGATCGAGATCCAGAAACTATGAAAAGATAAAGATGATATAAGATCAGAAATATTCAAATGGAAGCTAGAAAGATTCCAAATGAAAGAGAAAACACTAGAATTAATTAAAATCAATGCTAAAAATCTAAAGTACATGGTATAATGGGATTGAAGAGTCAACAATTAATCAATGCATTAAACATTAAACACTCATGAATGATAAACTAAAAAGGAAAAAAAAAGGAAATGAAAGAATAAAGCATGGTTTCTAAACCCTTTTAACTTACAATGGTGAATATGATTTTTTAGTATACTCCGAAGAAAAGTGCTTACTTCTGACCAAAGTTGATGAATGGAAAGTGATGATGTAATTGCTTGAGTAAATAAAGGAGGGGTGGAGGTTTCAAAGAAACGTGAAGTATTGTTTGATTGGAAAAATGGTGGTGGAATAGTAATTGTAAAGTGTTCTTCTGCTTGTTTTGATTGATGAAGAAATGTGGGTTGTGAGGTTTGGATTGACTCGAGGGCTTAATATTTATTTTTTGATCAGTTATATATATATATATATATATATATATATATATATATATATATATATATATATATATATATATATATATATATATATATATATATATATATATATATATATATATATATATATATATATATATATTATTTATTTTTTTATATTATTAGATTAAAGAGTTTTTTTATAATATCTTTTATATATATTTGAGTATTTTTTTTGTGCGTCAGATTAGAAATAAGTCTAGTCGAGTCGAATAAATTTTAATTTGGTTCGACTCGATATAATTGATTCAACTCATTATTTGACTCAAATTTAACATACATTTTTTAAAGTTTAAATTCAACTATTTTAAATTTACAAATAATTTTATTCAATTCAATATATTCAACTAATTTGTTTCACATACTTAAAAATTATTTATTTTTTAAAATCTAATTTTCTTTAATATTTAATATTTTAAATTAATATTTAAAAAATATTACGGGTTATAAATTAAAATTTAACTTTATTTTCTTGAAAATCTGCGACTTTGAAAACTACACAATTTTATCTAAAAGATTTACAACCTCATTTAAATTTTTAAAAACCTTATAAATTTAATATAATAGTATAACAAAAACTATTAGAATTAAGTTGAATAAATTTTATATATATATATATATATATATATATATATATATATATATATATATATATATATATATATATATATATATATATATATATATATATATATATATATATATATATATATATATATATATATATATATATATATATATATATATATATATATATATATATATATATATATATATATATATATATATATATATATATATATATATATATATATATATATATATATATATATATATATATATATATATATATATATATATATATATATATATATATATATATATATATAATTTATTCAAATCCTCTAGTTAAGTTGAAAAAATTCCGTCATTTAATACAAATCCTCTTAGTTTATATTTTATTGTTTGTAAATATTATGTATAATTTTCATAGAAATTATTTAAGGCTGTTACTAATAATAAACATTTAATCGAAATCCTCTTGGTTATTATTTTATTGTTTGTAAATATTATGTATAATTTTGTATAATTTTCATAGAAATTGTTTAAGGCTGTTACTAATAATAAACTTTGAAAGTTTTAAATGTTGTTTCACTTTCATTAGATTTTTGGTAAATAGTGTAAAATAATATTCAGTTATTACTATTTTTTAATGATATTAAATAGTTTTTACTAAACAATTTTAATAATAAACTCATTTAACTAGTTCAAAGAGTAACTCTATCTAAGCACATAGATTTTGAACAATGTATTGAAATACTTGCACCTCCCCGTAACCGATACTTTTCAAAATTTAAGAACTCAGACATATTTTTCCTAATTATTTAATTCACTAAAATGTTAATCACAATAATTTTTTTAATAGACAATGATATTATTTAAAGGTAGTATTTCATCCGAGAAAACAACAAAGAAAATTCTTCCAAATACAATAATAATTTATACGAGAAATTCAATAATGAGTCTACTAAAAGTGTTCGCGGTGCGATTTGGATAGTTTTGAAGTAAAAAATTACTCGAACTGCAAAAGAAAAAAATATATGGTTCAATTTAGTTCGGTTGATTTTTAAAAATAAATTCAAATCAAACCAAACTAATGCGGTTTGAATTGATTTGATTTTTTACAAAAAAAAAATATTAAATCATACATACATATATAGAGAAAAACATAATTTTGTATTTAATTGTTCATATATTACCAAAAAAAAAATTATAATACGTATTATAATTTTATCTAAATCTAAAGAATTATATAAAAAATACGATAAAATATATTTTTTGAAAATAGTATTTATAAATGAATAATATTTTATTTTTTATAATTTGTAAATTAAAATAAATATCATACAAAATATGATAAAATATATACATAATACATGTTGATTTCTCTAAAGAATTAATATATATATATATATATATATATATATATATATATATATATATATATATATATATATATATATATATATATATATATATATATATATATATATATATATATATATATATATATATATATATATATATATATATTGGTTAGTAAGATTTTATAACATAAATGTGATTTTGTTTGGTTTGGTTCAATTTATAAAATATAAATCGCAAATCAAACCGAATCATACTGTTCCGTTATAAAAGAATTCAAACACATCGGAACCAATATTGTTTTTTGGAGTTTCGATTTAGTTCAGTTCGATTTAGAAATTTTCTATTAAACCAGATTGATTTTGATGACCCTTAGAATTTAGTACCTATGATCAAAAGATGCTTAAGAACTTCCAAATCTATGCTTAAACCAATTTCAATTTTACACTATAAAATATCTTTTTTAATAATTGACTAAATAAATTTATACTAACCAATCAAATCAATCTTTTCATTCAAGTGACCCCTAATATTTTCATATTTTTTTGGTACACTTCTTTACCACGATAAAGCTTCTATTTTTCTCAAATTTTTCCATTTCCTTCTAACTCACTTCTATCACTCTAGTTCTTACACTTCTTTTTCTCTCTCCTTCATCCAATTGTTCACTCCCTCATAAAGTTGAATGTTGAATTTGCTGAGAACTCCATTTTCCAACTGGTCATGAAGTGTTGGTACAGTGTGAATCATTTTTTAGGTGAGTCATTTTGAGCATCAAATTTTTCTTCATCAAAACATTCTGCATATTTAATTTTAGTATATTATAAAAGATGCAAGACATTGACATTATTACATAGAATATGGTTTATTGGTTTGTTAGAACAATGGTTTATTGTGGAATATACTTTTGTTGAGATTTGTTTAACTCTTGAATAACCTAGCATGTGAGTGTTTGTGGTTTATCTTACATCTTACATAAGTTTCAGGTTACACTTCTGCCATACAAATAATTTTTACTACTATTATGACAGTAAAAAATTAAGACAATAAAAAAAATTATTCACAAAAGCTTCTCTGTCTAAGTCAAATGAATATTGAAACGGCGGCTAAAGTTATACATTACTTTTAAACACTTTATTGAAAATCATATTACCACTTCATATATAAATATCTTAATGTAACATTCAACTCTATTTTATACAGGTTAAATATTGAACGTGGATGTTTTGCATTAGCATCCAAAAGTTGCAATTGCAATGGAATTATATTAACTTGATTTTAAAACTGACTGCATACAACAAAACCAAAGATACAATTAAAATTCGATCAGAGTCATTACAGTTGTTTCTATGTAGTTCTTACACATCACATCTAAAGGTCCAATGCTTCATTATGATGACTTATGAACCACGTTTGCATGTGCACCATGCTGTACTAAGTTTTTCTTGAATTTTGTAATGTCTTACCATCTTTTTACACAAAAAATTCTAGTATACCATCCTCTTCAATCAATATTCTCATATTATCATGTTTTCAAATAAAATTTTTTTTGTCACAAAGCATCCGCCAGGTGAATGGACGGAGCTGTTGAAAATATTTGACATCCACAAAAGCAATAGGCGGAAGTGTTATAATTTGCAAAACCAACTTTCAAATCTAAAAATGTTGTTTCCACCTCTAAACCATTAGAACTTCTGCACATTGACTTATTTGGACCAGTTAAAACTGCTTCAGTCAGTGGCAAGAAGTATGGGTTAGTAATCGTAGATGACTATAGCAGATGGACATGGGTAAAGTTCTTAAGACACAAGGACGAGTCACACTCTGTGTTTGTCACCTTCTACAACCAAGTTCAGAATGAAAAGGATCTTAGAATCGTCAAAGTCAGAAGTGATCATGGTAGAGAGTTTGAAAACAAAGATTTTGAATCATTTTTTAATGACAAAGGCATTCTGCATGATTTCTCTTGTCCTAGAACTCCCCAGCAAAATGGAGTTGTAGAACGAAAGAACAAAACATTGCAAGAAATGGCCAGAACCATGATCAACGAGACTAACGTTGCTAAGATCTTCTGGGCAGAGGCAATAAACACAACGTGCTACATTCAGAATAGAATCTCTATAAGACCTATTCTGGAAAAGACTCCATATGAACTGTGGAAGAACATAAAGCCCAACATTTCTTATTTTCATCCATTTGGATGTACTTGCTTTATTTTGAATACTAAAAATTATTTGAACAAGTTTGACTCTAAAACACAAAAGTGTATTATGTTAGGATACTCTAACGCTCAAGAGGGTACAGAGTATACAATACAGAAACACAGATTGTTGAAGAATCAATCAGTGTTCGTTTTGACGATAAGCTTGACTCTCCAAAGTCAAAGTAGAATGAATTACTTGCAGGTATGGAAGTTGAATTCACAGGTACTGAAGACAAGTCATCAGAAGCTCTTAACAGAGACACTCCCTCAACATCAGAAAGAGGCACTGCAAGCAATCCAGCACCTTCTGTTGAT